GTATAGACTTTACTGAAACCTTTGCACCTGTTGCCAGAATAGAGGCCATTAGAATTTTACTTGCTTTTACCGCATGTAATGGCATGAAATTATACCATCAGAAGAGGTTTACGTGAGTCAACCTCCCAATTTTGAAAATGACCTACTATCATCTCAAGTTTTCAAACTAAACAAAGCTTTGTATGGATTAAAACAGGAACCACGTGCGTGGTATGAAAAATTAAGCTCTTTTCTAACAAATAATAATTTTATAAGGGGCAAAAATGACAGCACCTTGTTTAGAAAAGAAATAAAGGATGATTTCATAATAGTTCAAATCTATGTAGACGACATAATATTTTATGCTACTAATGTAAATCTTTGCCAAGAGTTTTCCAAGCTTATGCAGGATGAATTTGAAATGAGCATGATGGGAGAACTGAAGTTCTTTCTAGGACTTCAAACCATCTAGTCAGACGAAGGAATCAAAATTCATCAGACGAAGTATACAAAAGAATTACTACAAAAGTTTAAGATGGAAGATGCAAAACCAATGAAGACGTTAGTGCATCCTTCAACTACTCTTGGTCTGGACGAAGAATCACCAGATGTTGATAGCACAATGTACCAAGGAACCCACATTTTATCCAAGTCAGACAAGCCCATTCCACAAAATAAATGATTTTTTTTTCCAGCCTGAATCCGCCAAAACCGACGAATAATGCATATAATTATAAGAACAAAAATCTTTTAATGTTAAGCTAAAATTCATCAAACTAAATTTTAACAACATTTAGAATGGTCTTAAACACCAAATATTAAAATGTTAAAACTAAAAATATTATCAATATTTATATAATAATATCAAACTTTCAATAATAAAAGTATCAAAATATCTTTAAAATAATATAAATGACAAATATACATAAACTAAACATAGTTTTAATATCATAATAATTTAAAAAATTAAATACACAACCAAATATTAAAGTCTTAATATATAAAAAATTAATTAATAAAGTTTGCAGGTAGTTTACTAGTCCGTAGATTAAGTTTACAAAATCCATAGACTTCACGGATCGGACTTAAAAGAGGTCCGTGCATTCAAATCCATCTACCCACTCCTAAATTTCATTAATTCCGATAGCATTTGAAAAAAACAAAAAAAACATTGATGATATTGTCAAAGATAACAACACCATTACAACATTTTGACTAAATGTGTCACTACCCAAGGTAACACCATATAATTTATTAATAAAAAAGGATTAATTCATAAAATATATAGTAATTAATAAAATACAAATTATTTTAATATATATATATATAAGTGTAACTAATTAATAAGTAATAATTTATTACATTAAAAATTTATAATGTTTTTAAATTTTAAATTAAAAATAAATTTGTAAAAAAATTAAATTTAAAATTTAAAAAAATTATTACATATTTAATAATTTTTAATAAAAAAATTATTAAAAAAAATATATCCCTACAAGGGACAATAACACTGGAAGAATAAAAAAAAGAAAAAAATAGTCTCCATTGATGGAAAACGACAATATTTAATAAAATAAAATAAAATAGACCCTCCACTTAGGGATAATAACACTAAAAGGTAAAAAAAAATCCCCTACTTAAGAGCAACAACACTTGTTAAATATATAGTAAAAACAATGCTAGAGTTAAATGTGTCAATAGTAATCTCGCACGTGACTTCAACGTCATTAATACCACGTCTCATGCCACTCTTCAAGACATTTTTTTTTCCTTACATTACATGGTATGGGTGTTACTAGATTTACCAGCATCACCTATGATTAATCACCCCAAAATAAGAAAAAAATTGAAAATACTCACATTCCAATAACAAGTTTTTATAATGACTATAGTTCACAAAAAAAAAAAACCTATAATGGTCTACTCACTAAAATGACTAAGAACACATAAATTATTTTAACATTTAATTACAAAACAGTGTAATAAAAATTTAATTATAAAACACTTTTATAATTATAACATATGTAATAAATATTTACTTTATACAGTGACATTGATGGTACAGTATTTATAAGAAAAGATTCTTATGATAATTGTAAATATAATAAATTATTAAATATTTAGATATTCTTTTACACTAATTTAAATTTATGCATTTATAAAAATATATTATATGATTGTTTAAATTTATATAACAAAGTATTATATATTTTTAAATTTGATAGACTTAATTTACATTAAAAAATTTGATTTAATAATTTTATCATTAAAATTTAATGTAAATAATTAACCTATTTAAATATAAAGTTATTTTTTTTTTAAATTTCTATGTAAAAAGTAATATTTTATTTTTAGTAAAAAAAATAACTCTAAAAATTCCATACTATAATGCGTTCAAATAAGTCCTATAAGTCAATAATTCTATCATATTTAGTTTAGGAGTAAACTCCATATATAAGTGGAGAAAATAGAAATTCAAAAACCTTGATAAAAGGAATGATGTGATGTGTGAAAACTGGAAAGGAAGAGAAAAAAGTAAAGTAAAATGTGTATAAATTGAGTGTCACTCCATTTAGAAATCTTATCCCACTAGTATTTTCGCATAAATTCTCTTCTCATCAAAACCTTATTCTTCCCACAACACTTCAACCATAGAAGAAAAAGGAAGAACACATCACTCTTCCATGGTTTCCGACCAAGTTTCACCGTAAGTACTCACTCTCCTCACCACTCACCAACACTCCACTGATAATTCCCCACCCACTCCAACTATTTAAAAAAATCTCTGCACTTCAAATTAAATAATACCTAAAAACTTCCAAAATAAAAATAAAATAAAGAAGAAAAAAAAGGCACCACAATTAATAATTAATAATTATACTAACCTGGCACGATGTCAGATTCGAGACGAGCGAGATGGTGGCAGCGTTCGTGGCGTCGACGCCGCTGTTGTCGGAGTCGTGGAGGCTGTGCACCTCGGCGGCGGCCACCGCGCCACGGAATTTCGTGACGGAGGGTGGCGGCGGCGTGGTGTACGTGGCGTTCCCCGGCGTGGAAATGGTGGCGGCGTCGACGGAGTCGAACTGGAGGAAGTTGGTGGCGTTCGATAGTATCGGTGACGTGGCAGTGTTCTCGGCGCGTCGCAACAAGGAAGGCCATGAGCCTGTGATGGTGCACGCTGGGATGCTCAATCTCTTCTCCACCGTTTTCGACCCATTCCGAAATCAGGTTTCTCCGTTTCCAACTCTCATGCATAAATATATCCATATCTAATATAAAAGAAATATATTTTAGTAATTAGTCGCGACGAGGATTGAACTTAGGTTCTCATGTTTTAACTACTTTAATTCCTTTCCATTCAACCATTAGAATAATCTAGTGGTTAATTAATCGTTTGATTATCATTTTTTAATAAATTATTATATTTCTTAAATATAAAAAAAATCTTATATTTTTTTTGAATAATTATTTATAATTTTTAATATTTATTTGTGTATAATTATTAAAGACATGAAATACTCGATCCATCTACTATTGTATTAACAATATATAATAATTTATCATCAAGTAATTCAAGTTCGTATGAAAATAAATCAGATTAAGAGAGAACATGTTTAAATAAATTTCAAGAAATATTAATAAAAAAGTTAATTTCAACAAATTGTAGGTATTCTTAACTTTTTTTTTGACCAATTAAAAAACTAAAATATGTAGAAATTAATTAAAATAATAAACGCATGGCATTATATATATTTCTAGAAGCATCTTTAAGACTTTGTTTTTGGCCCATTTTTCATTATTGTCTTTGGCATCGTCCGTGATACATATATATGCTTGTTCTTGTTCTTGTATGATATATTTTCACGAGCTTAATTATTAAACATGTGGGAACCATTTTCAATGACAAACTGACATCGACGCTCATTATTTTTTCCACTTTCTATCGCATTAAGTCATATGTCTTATTGTATATTCACTTCTCTGTCTTGCATCTTCTTTAATTACCTCTCATTGTGTACATATCAAATAAGTGAGGTGTGAACTGTGCACCAGTCCTTTGTGTTTTGATAGAAAAATAATACTATGACGATGTAAATCGTAAATAGTTAAATTATGTTTTTTATTTTTATTTTTTTGTTGTTATCTAATTTTAGTCTTTATTTTAAAATAAAGATGTTTAATTTTTTAATTTTCAAAATTATAAAATTTCAGTCTTACTATCAATGTGATAGTTATAAAATACACAAAAAAAATGTGATATTTAGAGAAATAAGAGAAAAATATGTAAACAAATATTTTATTTATATTTATCTTAACAAGTAATTAGTATTTTTAGTATTTATTTTATTTATAAAATCTCACTTGTATTTATTTTTATTTTTTTTTATATCTAAATGCTATATCACTAATACTTATAGATTATGAGTCAATAATAAAACTTAACCATGGTCAACATAATCATGTTGGATATATACGGTAAACAATAAGTTTATATAAGTAAAATTGCACTTTTATGTTTTAGAATTTTTCTCAATCTCATTTTATTTCTCTATCTCAAAATAGAGAAACATTTATTCTCATTAATTTTTAAAACATGAAATTATTTTAAGAGATATTCTATAACTTATTTTCCTTCTTGAAAATCATATATATCGTCTACCACATGTATCGTTTATGAAACATAATCATGTTTGACCCTCAAAATCGTATGAAGTTTTTTTTTTTTAATAATATTTTTGACACCAAAAATCCTATGAATTTTAACTACCAAAAACAGGAAAATATCGAATAGCGTGATTCTATTAATGTAAAACCCAATAGCATGATTCTATTGATATCAAATGCAACTGAAATGAATATAATTGGAATATTGAATAAGAATAACATTAATCAGCATTGCACATCATTGAATAACGTTTTTCCGGCAATAATTTTTATTTTATTGTTTATATCCTTTTTTATTTTGTTATTATATGATAACAATGACGTTAGTTATAACATTTTTTTTTCTTATTTTTTTCATTCTTTTCTATCTTTCATGATCCTTCCTCCTTTTCTATACACTGAAAAAGTATGTATCCACTTTTTTTTTTCCTTCTTCTTTTGAATAGTTATATTTATATTCTTTATTTTCTCTTCTCTTCTCTCTCGCTCCCTCCCTTATCACAATAACTTGTTATATTTATTATTCTCTATTTTTTAATCTTTGTTTCTTTCTCCTCCTTATTACACTCTAAAAGGAGCATGACAACATTTTCCTTTTTTTTTGGAAAGGGTTCTCAGCGTCGTTAACAGAAAAAATGGCATTCTATATGACGGTTTATGTTACGAGATTGTTGGGTCGTGCGACTCTTTTCCTGAACTAGACTCAGATTATCCATAGAATAAGAAGTCAGTCTTGAAGAAAACGATAAAACTGAAAGGTAAAAAGAAAAAGGTTTAAGCCTAAAAAGTGACATGATAAACATTATATATATTGGGGTTACCATTAGAAATAAATAAATGAATAGCTTATTCAAAAGTAGGTTGAAATTACACTAAAAAGTATAGAAAAATGCATTATTACATTTTTGTATATAAAATATTTTTGATTCCTTAACATCTCATTTCGCTTTCACACCTATCACCATGTGTGCATCCCCCCTTTTCGTGTGGTGGACCTATTAAGCTGTGAAAATGAGTGCGACTGAGAAAAAAAAAATAAAGCAAAGAAGAATATACGGAATATGATAGAAAAAATTAAACAAATTCCCACCATAGAACCTTAATGACTTTTTTTTTTTTTTTTGGTTATTAGTCACAATTGATAAGATATAAAATATAAAAAAAAAACATTAATTTTTACGAAATTGAGCGATCTCATACAGATTGTAGTTAACTTAAGCCAAAGCTTGTAAAAATAACCCAATAACCCTAATCGTTCTAATTTTTTGAGGTTGCATATCAATTATCAATAATAACTTATTAATTACACTATAGTTTGCTATTTTTTCAACATTCTTTCCCCTCTACGTACAATATTTATATTTCAAAGGAACCGATTATTGTCAATCCAACGAACTAGGCAATGAGTGCAACCAATACCAATTGTCTCTTCGTTATCATTTGAAATCAATCAAGTTTCTGAAGAATAACGTCCTTAAATTGGACTTGAGTCTTGGTCGCGAAAACATTTACCTGTCGTGTCCGTTAGTATTACGGTGACATCACCCGGTGTTTGATTCGAGAAATTATTGATTTTATTGTCCTTTTTTTAGACTCTAATATAAAGTGTAGGGTACATAAAACAAAGAAGAATTTTGCCGTGTGCAGTGCTCCCTGGCTAAAAGCCACAAGTTTGTGCCAAACATGGGTCCCCTTAAAAAGCTCTCAATATAATTTTCGCCATTTATAAGTACTACCAACCAAGCCATTATGAATGTGTGTACAAAGCATAAATATTTTTGTAGTAGTCCAAGTCCAATTTCTCTTAAAATGTTTAGATTATTGAAATAAATTTTATATCTTTCAATAAGGTTATTTTTTGCATAAAAAAATTAAACTGTTATCGATATGTTTAAGAGATTTATTTATCTATCAACTATGGTAAATTTTGTTGGTTAACTAAGTCATTATGATAGAGACACCGCTTAACATTATTCTACTTTGAAATTGGAGACTCACACTTAATTTGATGTAACAATTATTTGCCTCCGCCATCCTGTAGACAAAAAGACTTCAAGTAGGATCAATTTTTGGAGTCAATGCTAGAAATGATGAACCATCCATTATTCCTAATTAATATCTTCATCGTCATTATATAATGTGGGTATATTAATAGGAGAAAATCGCCACGATTGACTTGTGAAAGCTGAAAATATATATGATTGATATTTGTTTTTTTTTTATAATAATATTATTGATACAAAATATGTACTTATTTTATGCATGACTAATCTCTACCAAAAATATCATTAATATTACTCTATCATATTTTTTATTTATTTATTAAATTTTGAGCCAAAGATGTTACTTCGAATATTTTTCAGGAACTAATAAAAGAATGAGACTTCTTTTAAGTCAATGAAGAACATGATCAATATTATTACAAAAGAAAAAGACACAAGTTAAATTATTGGGCCACAAAAAATATAGTAGGCCCTCCTGTACTTTTTTTGTATATTTTAATGGATGTAAATTAAAAATAAACCAATAAGAATTCAATTAGAATATGATGATAGTATAAAAATATTTTTTATATATGAATTTAATCATAAAGTTTAATGTAATTAAAAGTTGTTAAGTTATGTAATAATTACTTTAAAATTCATATTTAAAATAGTTTCTAATCGATTAATAATATAATTTTGTATAGTTTTTGTGTGTCAAAGTTAAACTCATAATATCTAACAAAGATGTTAAAGGAAGTATTTTGTGTGTGCAACAAAGATATCCTAGCTGAGGCATGTCAAAAATCATTCCATCTCATTAACTTGACTCAACTATATTTTTTTTTTAATATATATTTAAGATTTTAGAAATTTAATCTAATTTATTTTAAAAATAACTTTAAATTATACTTTATGTTATTTTTTTTTGAATTTATACTCTATTTAATAATTATATAATAATAATGAACTTTTTGACTTAATTGATAACATTTTTCATAAAATGAAAATATATTTATAATATGATTATATATTTTAAAATATATACTAAAAAATTGTCTAGTTTTTATTTCCTATTTTTCTACAACTTAGCTATATAATATTAAAATTATATACCATCTTAATAAATAAAGGTCGGCTCAATTTTATCTTGTACAATATCTAATATTGACCAGTCAATTTTCAATTAAATTTGTGCTAATATATTCAATTAACACCCTTATAATAGGAGGTTAGTGTATAAAAATCGTTAAGATGACTTTTGTCTATAAAAAAATGATATACACGACTAAAAATGAAATGGGTCTACAGATTTAAAAGACAACTATTTGTCAATAATGCTAAACTCAGAAGGATTTGCTCCTTTAATTTTTTTTTTTTAAGTAAAGAGACAAAATAATCTATACATACATTAATAGTATAAAGAATTTCTACGTCGTTTTTTAATTAGTGTATTAACTTCAACGATAATTACTTTACGAATTATATTTATCATCAACTTTAATTGGTTGACAATGTGAAACATTTTATACTTCGGTACGTGAAAATTAAACTCTTTAATAAATTATAAAATGTTAATATTTAATTTATCGAGTTTTTAGTTTAATTTTCATACATTATGCATGTAATTTTTTTTATAGTCAATTAATTAAAACTTATTCTACATAATGTTAAAAAATAATTTATCACTGCTAGTGAGCTGATTTCCCCTCATCAATTATAATTTATGTTAAAGTGGGGCAGTGAGCTTTTTGGTCTACATAATTAATTACAAATATATACAGCATCAGTCGTTACTTTTAATTTATTCAAAAAAGTCGTTACTTTTTATTTCATATTTTGGCAGCAACAGCCAACAAGACTGCATAGAGTCCAATAGTCGGAGAGTCACATCCTAGTGTCCTACAAACCTAGACCACATCCTACAAATATGAATTAAATTAAGTACATGTAATAACTATTTTGCAATTTTTTTTAATAATTTAGAATCCAAATATGTACATATAATAATGTTTAATTAAAATAACATTGTTGTATTTCCCATATCCATATTACAATCTTAGAATACTTTTTTGGGAGCACCAGCTACACTCTATCTAATAATAATAAAAAATATATGAGAAAGAATGTTTTAGTTTTGGTTACATAGTTACATTTGTTTTCCTAGAATCTTAATCCTGACTAACTGTAGTGTAACCATTTCAGATGTTGACAATGCTTGGAAACACCAACACCAAATCAATTGTTATAACCGGTCACTCCATTGGAGGAGCCACAGCCTCTCTATGTGCCCTTTGGCTATTGTCCTACCTCCACCACATATCTTCCTCTGTGTCAGTCTTATGCATCACTTTTGGTTCACCATTGCTAGGGAATGGCTCTTTCTCACGTGCCATTCTCAGAGAAAGATGGGCTGGTAACTTCTGCCATGTAGTCTCAAAGCATGACATAATGCCAAGGCTACTCTTTGCTCCCATAACCCCTTACACTGCTCAGCTAAACTTCCTTCTTCAGTTTTGGCAACTGTCCATGACTGTTCCAGGCTTTCGAAATCTTGCAGTTCCAATTTCTGACCAACTGAAAGAGTTGTTCAACTTTGTGAACCGTTGCTTGGATGCAGCCACACAAGAGGGAGAAGGGTCTGCACCTGTTTTGTTTCACCCATTTGGAAGCTACCTTTTTGTTTCCTCAGAAGGAGCAGTGTGTGTGGATAGTTCAACTGCTGTTATAAAGATGATGCATTTGATGTTTGCATCAGGTTCTCCAGCTTCTAGTTTTGAGGACCATCTAAAATATGGAGACTATGTTAAGAAATTGTCTTTGCAATTCTTGCACCAGAAAGATTCCGTGCAGGGGAACATTCCTGATTCAAGCTATGAAGCAGGACTTGAATTGGCAGTTCAGTCTTCAGGTTTAGCAAACCAGGTAAATGTACTATCTTGTCACATCACTACGGAGAAGTTATCGCTTGGTTTCGACCACCATGGTCCTCATTAATATCTATGTGATCGTAGTCAAGTTTTATTAAAGTTATTCTTTAATTAGAATTACAATTTTATATCGATAATACACATTAATATTAATGAAATCATTTATTGTACATATTATCAAAGTGAAGCTCTAATTCTAGTAGGAAAATATCATCAACGATACTGCATGAACACATGGTGATTCAGGACCAAGCTATAACTTCTCCACCACACTTCGTGATGTTTCTTCATCTCTCTCTCTCTCTTTTTATTTATTTTTTTATTTTTTTATTTTTTTATTTTTTTAAGTAAACACCAAAATGTCAATTTATTGAACATGAATTGAGAATGTAGCATGATGCATGAGTACTTTTGTCTTTGCACTAACATTGTATTATTATTATTATTTATTAGCTACACATGATTCATATATAGTTTCCACTAGAAGAAAGGAGATTTCATTACTATCATTCTAATCTATATAGGAATTGGATATTGAACCTGCCAAGGAGTGCCTTAAGATGACAAGGAGAATGGGTCCTTCACCAACCATGAATGCTGCGATCTTAGCAATTACATTATCAAAGGTTGTGCCTTATAGGGCCGAAATACAATGCTACAAAGCTTGGTGTGACCAGCAAGTTGATCAAATGGGGTACTACGACTTGTTCAAGAGTAGAAGGAGCATTTCCAAAATGGCCATGAAAGTCAACATGAACCGTCACAAACTTGCCAGGTTCTGGAACAATGTGATTGAAATGTTGGAGAGAAATGAGCTTCCTCATGATGTGGCAGTGAGAGAAAAATGGGTCAATGCTTCACAGTTCTACAAACTCCTAGTTGAGCCACTAGACATTGCAGAATATTATGGTAAGGGCACGCACACAACCAAGGGACATTACATAGAGCATGGCAGAGAGAGGAGATATAAGATTTTTGATAGGTGGTGGAAGGATAAAATGGCAACCATGGAAGAAAATAATGAGAGGAGGAGCACGTTTGCAAGTTTGACTCAAGATTCATGCTTTTGGGCAAGGGTGGAGGAAGCAAGAGAGTGGTTGAATAGTGTTAGAAGTGAGATTGACACAAGCAAGGTGGCTTTGCTGTGGGATAACATTGAGAAATTTGAGAAGTATGCTATGGAACTTATTGATAACAAGGAGGTGTCACAAGATGTTCTTGCTAGGAACTCAAGTTATAGTACATGGGTGGAAGACTTGAGAGGACTGAGGGAACTCAAAGCAAAGGTGAAGAGGTTCCCACACGACTTTAACCCATTTCTGGATGGGGAAGTAATTCCTTAGTGATTTTAGATGAAATCAATAAATAAGCTTAACTCTGTAATATTATGCCTATGAACTACTTGTTTGCAAAATAACTTGTGTGCTTATGTTTTGGATGTTGAACCCGGCTATGCTTCACAGAATGCTGTGTTTAAAAGGGTTGGAAACTTGAAGATGATGTACTGAAGCATGCTGATGTAGAACACCATTATAATGTAATGCAAGGCCCTGATTTGCTTAAATAATGTCTTGATACTTACGAGTTGAGACAATTCCTTTATAAGTCTAAACTGAAGCATGCTGATGTAGAACCAATGCTATTTTCTTAAAAAAATATTTTTTATATTTTGTAATTCTAACTTTTGAAACTATTCATCAACTTTCTTTCATTTAATTACAATATGCTATTTGTTTTATTTATTTTTATTTTTTATCGAGTGACCCATTGACCTAATCCAAACCAAATCAATTAACACCGATTGATTTAAATATAATTATCTCCTAAATTTGAACTAATGCGATCCGTGTCCAGCTCTAGTCAGAATCATAAATAGTTGTTTTGCTTTGTGAACCAAGGTAGAATCATAAATAGATAATGACCGCTACATGATGTTTTTTAGCACTGAAGACCCTAAATTTATGAAAGAATTCAGAAAGATTTCAATTGGTGTGGAACAGCTCAAACAATAAGATATTTATGATTTATATGCAGTCTCATTATGTGCTTAATTATCGTCAGTCTTCTCTCCTTATAATTAGAACGCAGTGCATTCTCTAATTAAAGATGCATCATGTTTATGTTTGGTTCTTCATAGTTTTTTTTGGGTTGAACCGAATGATGAACATGTTCTCACTGACATGGCAATTGCAACAGCACTGTTGAGAATAGAATGTACAAATCAAATCATCACAGGAGAATGAGATAAGATAATTCAACAATTATTCTTTTTGTAAACTGGTAAAAGTTACACCTTGCCATTTTGAGTATCAATATTCCTAACTGGACCTTTGAACCATTTTCTAGCATCTAACAGCCACCAAAGCATTATGAGACCCAAACCCACTCCCAAAGCAACTGGTGCATAATTGAAAGTATCCCAAGTAATTGGGTACAGAGTTGGCAAAAGGAACACAGAACATGTGTAACAAATCCATAGGAATGCCACCAGACACACTGGTCTACTTGCTTTGCCTAAATAAAACGGTCCAGGCTTGAAGTTCTTCTCAGGCATCACAAGCCTTGCAAAGATAGGAACTGCATAACCTCCAACCCATCCAATCGTACATATTGAAGTTATTGCAGTAAAGACTACATTGACCTTCAAAATTGGGAGACCTAGAAGGATACATATTGCTGCACAGAGCCACACTGCATTTGAGGGAACCTTGTTCTTTGGGTGCAGTTGCCTCCATAAGTGTGAAAAAGGAACTCCCTTATCTCTTGACAAAGCATAAACCTGAAAATTGATGATATACATCATAATGTAAGGAGCCATTATTCTCCTTTTATCTCTTTGGTTCAGACATTTGCATCAAAACTTCATTGCTTAGTAATGTAACTCTAATCAAAGCTAAAATTGAATAATTTCATAGTTTCTTTTCTCAAAAAGGTAACTTCTCCCAACAATAACAAAAAATTGATCATGGAAGTTAGGAATGAGTAATCTACAAGACTCGAACTAAGACCTTATTTAAAGGAACTAAATGCAAGTCTACTCGAACTAGCGATTTGTTAGTACCACTTTCCTGAACTTAATAATCGAAAAGACAAAAACAAATGAAAAAAGAAATCTGTACTTACAACTCTGGCTGCACTTGTAGTAATTGAAAGGCCACCAAAAAAGAATGAACCCCAAATGATAAATAGTAGAACGATTGCTCCAACAGAATTGTGATATCTTCCATGGAATGCATCATAGAGTATTTGTGCTGGCACAAATGCTCCAGCAGTCTCATTGTTTGGATCATAAAGGTAACCAAAATCCTGAATGAGAGTTGAGAAGAGGCTGTTACTAACTTACTATCATCCTTTGGATCATAAAATCATTTTCCTTGGGAACAAAGAGTTGTTTACTGCTTGGTTATATCTTCAAGATTTTTATTACTAACTTCGATTTACATGTGTTTACCTGAATGCTGAATGTAAGTGCCAAGATATAAGCCCATCCAAATACTGAAATGATCCCAATGCTACCTAGTATTGCAATAGGTCCATTTTTGTCTGCACCTTTGGTTTCTTCAGTTAGATGTGCTGCTGCATCATAGCCATAGAGGGAATACTGGCTGACAAGAAATGATAGAATGGCAGCATATGGTTTGCTTGATATTCCTGTTGATTCAGGGGCTAATTCTAAGTGTGTGAATACAAATGAAGCAGGTTTTGTAGTTAGTGCTACCAGAGGTAACATTATGACTATCACCATTCCACCAATAACCTGACACAGAATAAATGAGTGCATTACCCCCTAATACAAACAAAATCCTTAAAATTGTTGAGCATATCGTGAGGCACAATTCAGAATATTTTGTGATAGAAATAAACAGTTATTAGTAGTAACATATGCATATCCATGAGTATTTTTGTGTTTAATCAAAATATCAAATTAAATACAACTTTCTCTGCCATTTCTAAGGGTGTCCACGAGTTGGTTTAATTTGGCATTATAGAATAAAAAAAATTGAACTAATCAAAATCAATTGAATTGCTTTGTTTTAATTGCAAATTCTATATATATGTTTTTTCTTTTTTTATTGTGCTTATAAGCAGAGAGAAGAGGAGGGGGATTCATGTTAACTGGTTCACTTAACTGGTCATGAGGTACCATATCACATAACTAATACCAAACTAAAGATGTTCAAGTTACATTGATTTGATTCAATTTTGGATTCGAACATATAAACTAAAGAAAACCAACTAAATTGATTTGATATTCGGTGCTTTGGGTGAATCCAAACCAATTTGACACCAAGTTTAGACCATCCTACGGCAGTTATAACTTGCAAGTGTATACAAGAAAGTAATGGTACCTGCCACCATATTGAAACTATATCGATCAAGGCAATCACTTCCAAAGCAAATGTGTTTAGTGCTGCCCATATAAGAGTGAGGCCAATGTACATACACAAGAATAGCCATTTTGGGGCGAAGTATCCTCCACCTATATTTGTGCCTGTTGAGAGTAGGATTATACTCTGCAACGTTTGTGATCCTGCATAAGCCTTTTCCAACCATGAAAAGCATGAGTTGCCATGTAAACACTTTCTGAAAATATTGAATAAAAATTTCAGCAAAGTACCTGAGTCCCTATCCCAGCTACAAGCCCTATGGTCTCAAGCCAAGCACAGCACCATGAAGAAAAGGGTCCCCATTTTGGACCAGCTAAATGGGCAGCCCAAAAGTACAGAGAACCAGTCGTCTGTTAGATTGAATTGAAATTAGAAAGTAAAAGTTAGTTTTGTAAGTTACTAAATTCATTTACTCATTTGTATGTTACTAAGGACAGCTTGAATAAACTTCTCTAAAAGTACTTCTAAGAGGAAGAATAGGAAGGAAAAATGAAGTAAGTTTTTTTACAAGCTAAAATTAACTTATGCACAAACAGATAAACTAATTTATAGAATCTTTCTCATATAGCTTCAAAAAATTACAAACTAGTTTATGCATATGATAGTTTTGATTTATGGAGAAGCTTCTTTAATTTTTCCTCATTTTTCTTTTTCTCTCAGAAATACATATGAAGAAATTTATCCATTCATTTACTCATTTGTATGTAGCAGGAACCAATTATTTTAGGATGTCAAGTTTCCTACAGGCAAAAAGGCTATTATGGACTCTATATTTTATAATTGACAATAGCATATTTTCTTTGTTCAAACATCATCGATTCTGTTCAAGAGTTAAACAAATTCAGAATAGCTAGATCTGTAGACTGTAAATATCTGTTAATTCTCCTTTTAGGCTTTTACCAAGCTTAACTTTTATATGACCATCAGAAGTTAATTTTCATCAAAACTATCTTAATTGTATTCAGTTTGATAAAATTTGAAATGTTATGACATTCAATAATTTTGTTTTGTAGAAGGAAAGATTACAACTATAGTAAAATTTGAACCTAAGATCTTTTGCATATTATCCTAGACCCACATTAGTCCAAACTTAGTGGTTCTTATGATATTCCATAATTAACTAAGCATATGCAAAATTATATTTTAAACTTTTAAGCCTTAAAGTGCTGCCACTACAAACAAATTGCAGAAATAAACTCTGAGAAGAGACAAACCGGGAACGATGAGCATATCTCAGCCATTGCAATCCCAACAAACCAAGTGAAAAAACAAACCACTATCCACCCCCATACAAGAGTTGCAGGGCCTGCATATTGAAGACTAGAACCATAGAGAGGTGTAATTCCAGTGAAAAGGGTCATTGTGGAAAATGATATTGCTAGAGTTTTGAACATAGTCTGCACCATAAATGACAAAGTTATTTTATTTACTGAAAACTGATAGCAAGATCAACTCCATCAAACACAAGATGGCAAAAAATAAAATAAACACCATTTCTCTTCTCAGTTCTTGCTTGTAGCCAAGCTCATTGAGCCTTTTCTCTGCTGAATCCATAGTTGTGTTTCCTGTCACTTCTGCAAAGCTGCCTTCACTCCCCATGGAACCAAGCTTCTGTTGAGGACTTTTCTACCTACTAATATGAAATAAGAAAAGAAAAAAGAAAAAACCTCACAGAAGAGTTCAGAAACCTCATAAATATATGCAAGCAATGAACGATATTTGACTAGTCCCTCTAATGTTTCAGTTGAAACTTGAAAGATTCAAACTTTGTAGTTGCAATATTTGAATGGTCTTTCGTGGTAAGTAACAACTACAAGCAATATGTTTCTGAATCTTTTTTCCCATGAAAGTGTTTTCTCTCACTAAGGTTCTCAGGAATGAAATACGTGAAAAATAGAGAGAAAAAAAAGTGAATAAAACTATGTAAAAAAAAATAAAATTGATTGTTTAATTAAAAGTAATATTTTAAGAATAAAAATTAAATGAATAAATAAATAAAATCTAACTTTAATTCGAGTAAACATAATTCTATTCAAATACACGATTTCTCACTAGCCATTTTTTGGTAGATATACATCAACTTTTTGTATTATTCTTGTACTAATTTTTTTAATAAAAAAAGCTAAAAAAAAGTCACGATTTCTCACTTGCCATTTTTGTATGTTGCTTTCACTAGCAACTTGAAAAGTGAATCCATCGGCATAGAGTTTCTTATAATAAGCTAACGTAGTAATTGGTTCTTTTCAACTAGTCAACCAACTATGAGCCATTTGTCGCTTTGTGTATTATATATTATGCTACAATGATGAATTGGGCTGATTGATTGCATCTAGGTTTGAAATATATTCGCTGATGCATTTGATTTCCATTGTTGGACTTTGCCTTCGTTGACAATTTCAGAGGGAAGTGGACACAAAAAGATTGAGATGGAATTTAATAAATAATAATAATAATAAAAACTGAAGAAGTGTGATCCAGAACATGTTCTCATGTTCCCGATTAGTACAAGTTGCTTTCATATCACATATTCTTCGGAGAAAAATATTACCTATACACTTATAAATACACTTCTTAATTTTTTATTGTCAACTAAAATATGGCTCACTCATTCTCTCCTTATTTAATTTTTTTTCTTACCAGAATTTGTAGGAGTTCAATTAAGTTGGAGTATCGATCTCCTCTCCTCTACTCCAGCTATGGGAACGCATGCAAAAGATATTCAAACGTTCCTCTGAAAAGTAAGATAAAGTGAGACCAAAATATAAAAAATAAATTAGTCAAATAACAATTGAAAATTTTGGAACAATGGATTCACATTATAAATTTAGATTGGACAAAAAATTCATAATATGCCTGGCTTGTTGGCTTATCCAACCTGAAAGGCCAACCAGAGGAGTAAACTTTATGTGGCTCACCTTTTAAGCCTTGGGTCAGCTAAGCTGAGTTGTTCTACCCAACTTGGGTTGTATAATTCCATTTCATATAGTGTATCTTTTTAATAAACTTTAACAAATAATAAAAGTGTGTTACAAACACCATGTTAGAAAATGTATAATGCTACTCTTCATATTTTGGGCCTGAAAAACAGCATGCATGCTAGATTATGCTACTCTTCATATCTCCTGTAAATCAAAGAATTCAATTCAAATGTGTATATACACAATCAATGAGCAAAGAACATGGCGCTATACATGTGTTGATCATGTTGACAAAGAATAAGGAAGTAAAATCAAATAAATATGCTACAATAATGGAGGGAATATGCATAACATTAATAGAAAGATTTGCAGTATGTTCATTTGATTTCCTTGACAGGAGACAATTGTCTAACATATTCCATATACCGAATTCTTCTGTAAAAAGGTTGACCCTCTATTTTTTTTAACCTACAAGACTTCTGGTAAGAGAAACCTTTAAATACCAGCCATCATGAATCATATACATAAAAATAAAAATAATCTTCAATTTTTTTTGCCACAAAAAAGGACAATATTAAAGCGAAAAGCATAATTAATTATGTTTGGTTAAACAGTGATCCACTTTTCAAAACAGAATTTTTTCTATCCATGAATATAATACATGTAATATTTCAAAACTCACAATCAAAGATTAATTTGTATTTGAAAGATATAACTTTACTAATCAAATATTATTTTAACATCTCATAAAAATATAAGGTCGACCTCATGGTCCAAGACAAACCTTACAATTATTAAACTAAAAAATTTGGTTAGTTTCCAAGTCATTTGAACGGGAAAGCAAGAAATTGTTGAATTCATATTCAACATGAGTTTCAACTTTAAACGGAAAAGCAAACATGCTCTAATGACTAGAAATTTAGTACTTATTGCTCGCACCATATCCAAAATTCCGACTAGCAGTAATTAACAATATGTTGACCAAGAATATTGCTGAGTCAGTTTTTGCATATTTGAAACTCAGTGCACAACCAATCAACCATATATATTTTAACATTTTTCTCTTTTTTCTCAGATAACCATTGGAGTAAAAGGAAGCCGGAAGACTGCTACATATTGAGTGTTATCCTGCTAGTTCAGAAATAAGACTTCAAAGACTAACTGTATGCACAGCAAAACAATTGCAAGTATTGTCACATATGAGCATTCACCAAGATGACAATCAATTTGGAATAACCACCAAAATATGTAAATGACAGTTCATCAGTAAAAGTCATGATGAACCCACCCCACCCCCAAAAAATAAAATAAAAAAATAGATTAAATTATTAACTTAACCCCTATAGTTGTCTTCATTCTATGTTTTAATCCCTAAACAAGAAAATTGTAAGTTTAAGTCCCAACATGTGCATAAAAAATAAATTTTGATCAAGAAAACTTTAGTGTAAAACTGCTACAAGAGTTTTGTGGCAGTAATAAACCGCCACAAAAAATTGTGTAGGGATAAATTCATAATTTTCTCATATAAGGACTAAAACTTAAAATGGTATACGAACTGAGTAAATAGTTTAACCTAAAAAAAACTTTGTGATAGATCACCTACGTATAAATATACAGTAATAGCCTTCCTTCCTTTTTTTTTCCTTTTAACAAAATCTCATGTTGTAGTAGTTTGTGGGTTACAAGTTATAATATAGTGGTAACACTATAATTAGTTCAATATGCATTTCAAATTCAGTCCGATTGACAGTCATGACTTTCAATATAAGGATTTGAACACAAGCCGTTAACCATAACTTAAGAATCAAATCAAAACTCAAGAAAGAATAAAAAAATGAGAAGCACCGTTTTCATGCCACAGTTTAAGCTGCAGCATCAAAGGAATGAAGAACATGTTCTAAAATTATTCTCTTATCCTGGTCAAGAGGACTCTCTGGTTTATCAGAGTGAACAATATTTAGAAGGTAGAGCTTCTTTGATGCAACAAATGCTGCAGAAAAGATCCTCTTCATTCCTCCCCGGGTACTATCAATCTTGTATTCAAATTCATAAATTCGCAACCCTCCCTCCCCTGATCTTTCTGCTGCTGTAATCAACTCAGCCTCCTTTGTACTTTCCTGAACGTCAAGGCAATAACAAGCAAATGTTAATATATTACATAATCACAGAGATATTTGATATATCTACCCACCAATTCTAAGAGCACAAAGACAAGTATTACTATGACTAAACAACGTACAGGTTGGGATATTAAATGCTATATGAATATGAATATATGAAATGGTCAATTTTTAACAAATAGGTACAGTTTCTTAAGTGTGTGTTCTCAAATCAAAATTGGAGACTTACCTCAGTAATATGCACTTGCATTTAATAAGAATTTCATTAATATACATTTACGCATGTAATCCACGTAAATCTCCAATTCTAATTGCAGAATGACACTAATCACACTTAAGAAACTGTACCTAAGTTTTGTCTAGAAAACAACACCAACCACACTAAAGAAACTAAGTTTTGTCCTTATGCATATTATCCAAGTCATTAGTTAAATCTATGAATAGGGAACAGTCATTTTTTTGTCATAAAAGCAACATAAACAGTTCCTTAAAGTTGGTATAAAACCAACAGATCATTACTTCGAGTGAAACTAAACTTGAATTCTTTAGGCAAAGTTTTGAATTCAAGCCTTCAAGATGAAAAAACACGCAATTGGGAGAAACTTTACTAAAAGTGATGATCCAAAACAGTCGGTATAGAACTCCTGATTTGCTTATGTCTTTGTATCTATACACTATACATACAACATTGCTAACTTTAAAATCATTTTATAAAGTGCAAGAAAGGATCTAAGAGCATCTCCAACGGGGTTGCTTATAAGCAACCCCTTGCCACATCAGTGCATTTGAGTTACTTAAATTTTACCAAAATTTCTTGTACAAGTTCTGGTACTTAAGAAAAAAGGAGAAAATGGGCTGATGTGGCAAGGGAGTTGCTTATAAGCAACCCCGCTGGAGATGCTCTAACAAAAGCTAATTTCATCTCATGACATTTTACAACAGTCACAACAAACAGCAGTGGAAAAAAAAAAACACAGTTTACCTTGCGTCTTTCTGCTTGTAAAAGCTTATCAGCAACAAACTGAGGAGTCCCAAACTCTTCTAGACTCGCAAGACGAACTGGGTTCACCACAACCCCAATATTGTTACTTCCCATATTTGCCTCTTGAAACAACACAGTTGCCCCTGCTTTGTCAACCTGTTAACCCGATTAGCAAAGTCTGTTTCTTTAGGAAAAAAAACACGCATAATTATTCATGACACGCTTATTTTTTCTTCTGGGTAGACACATTTGTCAAAAATCAAAGATATCAATTCCTCGATGTTTCTTATATCATTATCATAACATTATTTGATATTATTAATCAAATATTATAATATGACAGCTGTTGGACATACAACAAATCTTCCTAGTAATCAATTTTGCAAATTACATTAGTCATAAATTTGATATATACAAGCTTATTATTATATTTAAATGCCATAGTTCTAACTAAAAAGCGGGTAGATTAGTCCTTTACCTTTGTCCAAGAAGAGGGTGTAAGAAGAGTGAAACCTTCCTTGGAATCCGTGTATCTCTGAAGGTCCAATTCTTGAGCCAACAGCACATTAGGCAACGACACAGGCTGACCCCATAGGAACGTTGTGAGAAGAAGGGCGAGGTTGAGGTTCCTCTTGCTAAGAGAGTGTGATAAGTGCATGTCTTTGTGAATGCAGGTGGGTGAAGTGGATTTGTGGAACAAGTTTGAGAAGAAGGTTCTGGAAGAAGCATAAGTGGATTTAGAGTGTTGGTGGAAGAAAGTGCTGCGTGAAAGGGTATAGGAACTATTCAAAGCCATTTTGTAAAGTTGTGGATTTGGCAATGGTTTGAGGTTGGCCTCAATGTCTCATCATCATGGGATGAATCGAGGAGAGGTGACAAGGTAATCAGAACTTAGAAGGTGTTCGTGAATCGTTATCCACACTATTTTCGAGTTCCTTTTTTCTCTTACGTTCAATTTTCATCCTCTTTCTTAGTTATCACTTCTTTTCTTTCTCCACTTTTTCCATGTATGTGTCTGTCTACTTCTTTTTTTATTTTCTATTACTAATTATTACAAAAATTAGTAATATAAGAATTCATGTTTGGGTTCTAGTTTTAATTAAGTTCTAATTATTCTCACTTGTTAATAAACAAAAATATAAAATATAAAGACTGATATTCAATTTTATATAAATTTTAATAAAAAAATAGATTATGTACTAATATTATAAAAATCATTATAATTTTATTATAATTATTGTAATTTTACTAATAAAAAATATTATAAATAATTTTATATATTATTTAATCATAAATTATATATAATAAATTTATTAATGATAATTTTTTATTGATCGAGAGTTTTATATTAAACTCTGAATTAATATCTGACTAGTATTTTAATCTATATAATTTAAAGATAATAATTAAATAAATAATTTATATTATAATATAATACTATTTTTATTTATTAATGGTTTATTTTAAAAAAATTAAAATTTAATTTATAAATAAATTTTGAATTAAATAAAAATTAAAAAAAATTAAGAATTGTTTCATAAAAAAAATTCTTAAAAATATTCTCATACAAAATAAAGACACACTAATATTATATATAACTAAAACTTATAATAAATTATATATAGAAATAAATATTATATTTAAATATAAATTATATTTAAAATTTATATAAAAAGACATTTTAAACATATAAATTATATTTTATATTTATGATAAATAATTTTTATTATGATATAATATTATTTGTATTTATTGTTAATTTATTTTAAAATATTAAAATGTAATTCATAAATAATTTTAATAAATAAAAATTAAAAATAATTCATAAAAATCTGCTGGTTGAAAAAAAAATCGTATATATAAAAATTCTTATCTAATATATATCAATTGATTTATTTTAAAATATTAATATTTAATTTATAAAATTATAATAAATAAAAAGTAAAAAAAAAAAAAAAAAAAGTTCTATAAATCCTGTTAAATATTGAGATAGAAATTTGTGTTGAATGTAATGGGGTTGATTTGTAGAAAAGTTGTGTGATATAGGCGGCAAAGAAGCATGCAACGTGGAAGTGGGTGAACACATAATGAACCAAAATCAGACTAGAAAGTGGTACCGCATGGGTCTCATCGACCAATACACAAAATGTCCATGTCTTTGCCTCTTCGCTTCCATTCCTCGTCTTTCTCTCTCTCTGTAAGTTTCGCTTCGCTCTCTCTCTCTCTCTCTGCTATATCAACAATTATGTTAAAGGATTAACAAATTGAAAGACACGGAATGCTAGTATTAATCCTTATATTCAATGAAATTCATTCTCTATTTCGATTTTCTCCACTTTCAGAGTCTTCACTTACTCATAATTTCCAACTCTTTCTTTTCAATCGTAATGTTTTGCATTCTACTGGAAACACATACTATTGGACTCAAAATTATTCACTTCCATTATCAATCACATGAAAAATGTCAATTGATTTCTAACTGCTGAAGGAATTGTTTAATGCACTTTACATTTTAATCATTCTTTCAATTTTTTTGTATCTAAATGTACAGTCTCTTGGGGCTGTGAGGAAAGTGCTAGGGAGTTTTATAACAGGCAAGTATGCATACAAGCTTCTTTTCTTACCTCACATAAACTCTGACTTTGAGTTTCTCACACTTGACACTTGTGTTGTGACTATAGCATTGTGTTTCTGCAAATTATTTCATTTTCATAGATATTGTTCGACCAACTAATGGAAATTGGCACTTGGGAAGAAGAGGTGGAAGACTTGTGTCGTTTAAGGGTTGTGCGAGGCTTGTACAAACGACGTGTCGAATCTCTGTCCCTGGGACCTCCCCAAGAAACAATGAGAAGGCCTTGTCTAATATCTCCAGGGATAAGAAGACAATTCCAGAAGCGGATCCTCCCAGTATTAAAGATGTTCACCTTTTGTATGAATTTTTGGACCAGAGGTTAGTTTTCATACTCGTCATTTTTTCGGTTAGAAGTATATTAGAGCTCAATACTGTAGATATAATAACAGTACTTTGATAATTTACATTTTGCAAATTTTAACAGTTCCCTAGCTGAGTTTCAATTTTAATGTACAGTACCAAACTCACAGTATTGACTGGAGCCGGAATTAGTACAGAGTGTGGCATCCCCGACTATAGAAGGTTCTGGCTCTACTGTATACCACTTTCTAGTATCATGAGGCTAACCAAAATGTTTATTGGGGAACAGTAGAACATTGTAGTTTTTCTTAAAATAGCTACTTACTTTATTTTTCTTTGATATTGAAATTTATTGGACCTTGTAAATTTTGTGGATGTTGCATTCATAAACTGATGGCAACAAAAAAGAATTAAATGGTTAACTTGCTTTCTTTTTTGGCCATGTTATACTGTTATAGATATTGTGCGTAGAATGATAATATTGCTATATATTTCATTTCCTTTAGATTATTCAGAGCTTATTTTCCCTTTATTAAATAGTGTGATTAGAATTAGATTTGTATATGGCCTATACATATTTTTAAAGATTATTCAAAATTTTGTTTGCTTTGTAGGTGATCTCAGATTTTTGGTCATTGGTGCTGTGTTTTCTGTCAATCTTAAGAAAAAAGAAATCTATAGGCCTCTTTGGGTTTCAACTTTTTTATTTAATAGTAACTGTAGTTTAGGAGAAGAAATGGTAATTCTTATTTCATTGATTAATTGAAATTGCAAAGGATGATATAAGTAGGCTGAGTTCTCTAACCAATATGATTTCAATTCAAACTAGTAGATAAGGGGAAAACAAAATAAAAGATAAGACTGTGAGATTCATCTAAAACCAATATGATTAGATTACAATTCCTAATCTAATCATATTCTATCCAAAGTTTCTAGAAGAATTATTTACGTATTGAAAACAAAAAAAATAACAACTTTGATTGTAACGATTCTGCATCAATATGTATATATGGCAAAGAGGGTCAAGAAAAAAAGAATAATGTGGCCAACTATGTAATTATTTGAAACCAGATGCATCAATTGGAGGGGTCCACCTTCCATTCACCGATGCACTGACTGTAGACTAGTGCTAATTCTGATCAATATCCAATGTCATTTATTGGTGGTGGGAGATGTGCTATTCTTGGTGTTTACAAAGATTATATATGCTTCATCCTTATTTAGTTTGATATCTTGAGAATATGGAATGAATAACTAAAAAAATTTATTCATGAATCATAATGCAAGCTACATCTTCCTTTCTTTACTGTTCTTCACTGATAGCAATTTATTATTGTTGCAGCCCCAATGGAGCTTATAGTTCTGGATTCAAACCAATAACCCACCAGGTGATCTAAAGGCATGTATAACTAGATTTGCTTCTTTTATTGTATCATGGTAGGGCCTATATAATTTAGGAAAATATGGCCAATAGAAGAAGATAAAAAGGGTTAAGAATAAGAAAACACAGATCTCTTGCAATTAAATATCGTGTTCCAGATGGTTGCTTTAATGGGTTGGAATTTCATCTCATATTTCAAATACCTTAAATATCATGGTCCATAGGGGAAAAGAATGAACACAATACCTGCAGTAAGCTAGTATCTATGGTCATGTTCTTTGAAAGAGAAAAGGTCGTTGTTACTCAACAGAGTAGGAAATATGTATCTTTGACATCAGGAAAGCTGAGTACCTAGGACAAACATTCTCTCCATCTACACAAGGAGAAAAAGACTTCAACTATTTATTGATAGGTTATTTAGAATTTGGCATTAGTGTAACTGTGTGTGCATATTTAAATTTAAAATTTTATGGCAATGACTATGATGAAAAAAAAAAAAACTAAAGTTCATGCCAAAATAGTTGACTCATAAATCTCTTTCATCTTAATCTGTGTTTAAGTTTTCCTTTCTTTTGACATTATTTAAAAGGAGTTTCTCCGTTCAAGTCGAGCTCAGAGGAGATATTGGGCAAGGAGCTATGCTGGATGGAGGCGATTTACAGCGGCACAACCATCTGCTGCCCATACTGCTTTGGCAACATTAGATAAAGCTGGCCGAATCCATCTTATGATTACACAAAATGTTGACAGGTGCCCTCTAATTATTTATCAATTAGGCTTATTTGGAAAAGGTGAGATATTAAAACCAAGCCTATCCTGGAATTTTGTTGTACCTTGTTCTCAGGCTGCATCATCGTGCTGGTAGCAATCCATTAGAATTACATGGGACTGTATACACTGTAATTTGTATAGATTGTGGATATTCCTTTTGCCGGAGCTTATTTCAGGACCAGTTGAAGGACCTTAATCCAAAGGTTAGAGTTTGCAACTAATAGAAAAAATTGTATAATCAATGAGTAAATGCTTAAGAAGTGATTTCGAGAGAGAAAAATGTTGATGAAGTGAGTTTATGATAAGTCCCGATATTTAAAAGATCTAATCCTTTGTTTTAGGGTTAAAGTATATTATCATGTTGAGAGATGTAACACTTAAAGACAATGACTCGATGGTTGATAATTTTATTATCTGTGTAAGCACTATTTGGCTAGAGAGGTGTGGATGGTTTCTTTGGGTTGATTTTGCTGGTGATAAAAAATCCCCCTCTTTCTTATTCTCTTAAATTTGATAGAGAGAGAGAGAGAGAGAGATCTAACACTTAGATATAAAGACAATGGCTCTTGTTGGTTGATAATTTTAGTATCTGTGTGAGCACTATTTGTCTAGAGAGGTATTGATGGTTTCTTTGGGTTGGTTTTGCTGGTGATAAAAAATTCCCCTATTTCTTATTCTCTTAAATTTGATAAAGAGAGAAGTCGTAGAATGAGAAAAATGATGCAGCCGGGTGCTCATTCATCTGGCGCGTGACATTGGGAGAACAGCAATCCCTTTGAATGGTTTATCCAATAAAACATTCTATAAATGGCATGTGTAAATTGTAATAATACTGGCTATTCAATCTTGTGTTTAATAAGATTTTGCACCCTATATTGCAGTCACTGCAAAAAACTATTTTCTTAACCCATAAAACATCCTTGAATATTTATTATTTTCTTATATTCCTTAACACTACTTATAAAGAAAGGAGATAATAAGACAATAGAGTGAGAGTACCATATTGAATCTTACAAGGGCTAAACTATGTAGGGTACAATTACAACACTCAGTATATATTAGAAATTTAGGACAGTCTGTTGAATTTTCTTAGGAATTATGTTTTGTATGTTTCAATCATTTATATAATTTCTATTTCATGTGTCTGATATGGGTTCATTGCACTGAAATTCTGAATTTAGGAGGGCAAGACTCGTGTCATTACTGTGGTTATTACTTATTACAAGCAAAAATATATTTCTTCATACATTTCCAGTGCTTATTTTATCAAAATGCTTTAATGTAGCAGTTTGAGTTTTTGTTTCTCAAAACAATATGACTGCATACATCTGTTCTGAGTTTTCCTTTTCTGATAAACCAGTGGGCAGAAGCAATTGAAAATTTGGACCATGGAAACCCTGGGTCAGATAAGAGCTTTGGCATGAAACAAAGGCCTGATGGTGATATTGAGATTGATGAAAGATTTTGGGAGGAAGATTTTATCATTCCAACTTGTCACAAGTGCAGTGGAGTTCTCAAACCTGATGTAGGCCATCTTGTTTTTTTCTGTTGAAATATTCGGCTGTTACTTGTCTGCATACATCAGCCTGTTAGTTTTGTGCAGAATAATTGTTCTTCATTATTGTAGCTGGTAACAAGTGGGAGCAAGAGAAGTATTAGAAATATTAATTATTACTTTATAATTTATAGATCCAAAACATTGAGTTCGATGAGCACCTCCTCCCTACTGAACATTAAAGAAAAATAAAAAAAGAAAGAAAAACTTAACATGGAACACTGCAAGTCTTGAAATGCAGCGAACCTGAATTGAAATTTCTGGACGTTTTGACTGCCAGTTCAGAATATATTAATTATTAGGTTATGATAGGAAGTGCAATTTGACACTCCAAAATATAGAAACAAATACAACAATGGAAAAACGGGAATTCAATTTCTGTTAATATTGAATATATATAAAGGAAATACAGTGGAATAGAATTCCAACTGCCACAGAGCTATGCTCCTGCAGAGGGCTAGTGCTCTCTGTCCATAACAAACTAGATGATTCGCTCAGATATCCTCTCTCTTCTAACACGTCCAAATATAACAGAAACTTGTTACACATTTGGCATGCCCCTGTCTCTCTGCTACAACATTTTTTCTCAGACCCTTTGTATTTTTTCCAACATAAACTCCTCACACCTTGGGCTTTGGCTCAAAGGAAACAGATCAAAACTCCACATTGATGTTCATTTAAGTTGTGTATTCTTTTACGTAGTATGGTTTTATCACTTTTATGTGACAAATCTGGATGTGTTCTCTATTGTATCTTTTTCTTATGTGATGAGATAATGCTGCTCTACCTCTTCTTGAATAAGTTCGTGACCTGTTTTAAGATTCAAGATATTTCATGATTCAGTGGGAAGAAACAGACTACGAGTGCATTTTGAAATAAATTTAGTTATTCTATGGACAAAGACATACTTAGTCAATCGTGTATCTGAAAATGTGTATGATCATTTTGATCTATCTTATTATGCTGGTGACATGAAATGCTTGGTAGGTATATCAAACGTGAAATATTTACTGTGTCCTTGATGTTCTTGTTGTGAATAATTATGAAGGTTGTCTTCTTTGGTGATAATGTTCCAAAGGACAGAGCTGATATGGCAATTGAAGCGTCTAGAAAATGTGATGCATTTCTTGTACTTGGGTCATCCCTGATGACCATGTCTGCTTTTCGCCTTGTCAGGTAGGTAGATTCAAAATTACTACTAGGTCTTTTTGAGATTAAAATACAATATAGTTTCTTAAACAAATTATGCTACTTTATAAAGTGATTGTTGATGGCCCCCATTATAGAATTTGACATGAAAGTTTAATCAACAGTATAGATTCTTCTTTTAGAAATTATGCAATGATATTAGTCGATCAAATTTTACACGAGGATGAATAAATCCTTGATAGAATAGATATGCTGAAGTAATTTGGATTAGATAATTGAATAGCAGAGAATTCACATGCTTTCAACAATGTGATTGAATATAGCTGTGCCTTCCTGTGTTACTTATTATGGGAATAAATAAATAAATATGATGATTTTCTATCAATAAGTTTTCGTTTTGGTGGTGGTTGTTGAGAATGAGATACATATCAAATTATCATTTCAAAGAAAAAGTTAGTGTTTTGGAATTAACTTCAAAACTATAATTTAGAAAGAAGCTTGTATTCCCAATTTCAAGTAATTAAAATATTTTTCATTTGTGTGTGTTTTTGACTGGCTGCATATTTGACTTAATTGAATTTGTAAAGTTTACTTCAACAGGGCAGCTCATGAGGCTGGTGCAGCTACTGCGATTGTGAACATAGGTGTGACGCGTGCTGATGCTTTTGTTCCCTTGAAAATCAATGCACGATTGGGTGAGGTATGGCTTGAGTTGATGTTGACTAGCTATATTGAATATTGCATGTTTAGTGCCTCAAATCTCACAAGCTTTTCATTGTTGCAGATCCTGCCAAGAGTGCTTGACATGGGATCTATAAGCATACCTGCTGTTTAATGATATTAGATGAAAGGATGTATCAAGTTGTATTTGAACCATTCATTGTTCACTTGCCAAATTTCTTATTCGTTGTGTTGTTCAGGTAATGTCTGAATGTTGCCAGCCTCTTCAATTGACATCTCTTCCCTAACTCCGCAGATTCTGTATATGCCAGTTTCCATCATAATCCCCCAAAATTAAAATGCATTCATTTTGGCTGAAGCAATGTCAACTACAGAAATCATGAAGTGATGCTTGCTGAGGATGAATACACATGCAGATGATTGTTGTAGGTTAAAGAAACTAAAATACTATATTTATAAATAATTTTGAGATATTTTGGCTAGTGCCAATTTAAATTTCATTGATTAAATGCTTCAAGGTAGCTTAAAGAAAGGAATTACTATCGTTCTCATTAGTGATCTAATGAAAAATTGCTCCAAATTCAGTAAATTCTTGTTTAATGTAATGATATTGACGAGGAATCAATAAAACGCAATTGTTATTCGTGTTTTCCTTGCTGGAATGAACATTTTACATATGAATTACAATCGGTTATTTATTTTTTCCTTTTCTATATTAAAATTATAAGATCTTTCTAATGATTGTCCTAAAGGTTTTGTTTTAAGAATCAATTATTAAAATAATAAAAGGTTTCTATTTTTGAATCCTTATTGTCCTTTGCTGGTCTTATTAGAAACGTGATAAAACAGGTTATAGTACAAATTAATGCTAATTCACATGTAAATTTTAAAGGATATCGTCAGCTTTTTCTAACATCTGCCAACTTAACAATTGTCTGTAGCATTTTTCAACTGCGCAACTAATAAAGTTATGGAAAACAAACAACAAACAGTACCAGTTCTTTAGCTAATTATGAAATTCTATTTTGCCAAACAATCGACTTAAACTAGTTAAAAGTGAAAACAAAACTAATTTTATTAGAAAGAATACTAGCAATTAAAGACTTAAATATATTTTTAATCCTTCAAATTTAAAGATAAACTTATTTAATTTTTAAATTTTAAAATTATTTAGTCAATATAATTTTTTAAAATATTTTAATCTTTCAAATCAATAATATATCTAAAAATAACAAAAAAAAAAGATAATTATGTATCATCAATTATTTAATATTTTCACTAATAAAATACTAATAAGTAAATTCTATTTAACAACATTTGACAAATTTTTAAATAAAATTTTAATATAAAAATTAAAACAATTTTTTTTGAATTTCCAAGAACTAAAATAATAATTTTAAATATAAAGGACTAAAATAATTTCTTAAATTTAAAAAAACAAACATATTTAAACTTATATTAAAAACTATTAAAACGCTAAAAAAAATATTAAATAAGATGTGAAAACGTAATGTTTATAATCTCCAATAAATTTCAACTGAGACGATGTATTAATTTTCTTACTCGTTGATGAGTAATTTCAAGGTTAGTCCCACTCCTGTTTTTTATCTCATGTCTCATGCATTTAAAACAGAGAAGTTCTTGAAATCTGTAATTTCTTTCCTCACCCATTATTTTCCCCGGTTTTTTCTGTTCCAAACAAAAGGTCAATCATAAGCGACTAAAGGTGTGGTAGCAGAAGAGTTAACTAACTACTTGCATATATAACTGATCACTTTACATGCATCAGTAACCTGAGGTTGAAATCCAAATCCTACAAACCAACCTCAAAGGATTCAATTATACAAAACACACAACAAAACCCTTAACTGTGCTTCTACTAATCCAAAAAAACTACATAAACGATTAGCAGAATGACTTGATGCCTAATTTCCTAAGAACTTTCACTAACTGCCTTGTCAATTTCTTCAACGTGACCACGAAGCACATTCCACTGCACACGAGAGAAAAATAATCATTAAATATTGGCATGAAAATCATTTACTCTACATCTTTAAAACAACCAACACATTCGAGACAGGCATAGAAAAGGACTTGTATTGGACAACATCCATATAGTTTCATAATGTACCTGATCCATGGTCAACGAGATACCTGAAAACAAATAAAAATGTCAGCATAACCCACATTTGCAAATCAATATCAAGCCAACAAAAATATCACCCTACATGGGGTTTAAACGAAATGGATAAATCCAGTATTGAGCTGTATTAAAAACAAACTTTGAGCAAAAGAAAAACCTATCCCTGCAAACTACTTATCCCAACTGACTACTTGTCATTCTAGAAGAATTTCCCAGGTATACATGAGGACCACCCAACCACAATGCATGAGCATGATCTTGAATACCCGAGGATAACATAAATAATTAAGGACCTTCTAAAAACCAATCAAGTAAAAAGACAGACTCAGACAAAATTATAGTTAGCAAAAAATACTGGATTGGGTAGAAGCAAACATAAATCTTCAATATAAGTTCATAGTTATCAGTCCCAATTAGCAACAGGCACCATCCAAGTCATGCAATATGCATAATGTCAGATCCTAGAATTATACTAGCAATTTTGACAACATCACAAAAAGAATAGGAAGATTTCAGCTACCCATTATAATCGCACCACTATAGAATGCAAATGGATGCAATTTCATCTGCAATTTAGGCCATGAAAGCTTCAATTCCTGAATGCTCCGCAGCTGCACTTTTGTAGTGGCCAAGGGATGCTCAGCACCACCACACAACTATAGTACACAATTCATAATTATATACAAGTGTAGTTCATACTCCAAACTTCCCTAACATGACACAACAACATTGTTTCCCGTGAGCCAACAATTGGTGTGAAAACTACCATTTCCGATTTAGCCAATGAAAATTTTCCAGACCATTAACAAAATCAAGTTAAAAGTTTATTCCTTTAATTTAATTCATTTAAACCAACAGCTACTAAGGTTTTAAATCATCAAAACTAATTCAATTTCCATATCTTCCTTGATCTTATTGTTTGCTTGTAAGCAAACAATGATATATCACATCATAAACTCACAATTAGATAGAGACTATTTTTTTCTCGCAAAATGACTAGAGTTATTCGAGAGTCCTATAACTTAAAATTTGCCAAGAAATATTTTTTTAAAAAAATAGTATAAGTTGTTCACCTCTTTCAATGCCCCATCCGAAGTAAAGACTTTAGTTGAAGAATGAATATTAAGTTAAGAGGTATCAAGCTAATGCAAAATGAAAGCATTGTATAACTATCAATTTGGTCCACTCATGCAATAACTAAAGAGCAGATACAAACAATTATCATTACATGTCAATAAACTCAATACTATATCATGCATGAGCATTTTCGAGAACCATATTGCAGACTATTCTGGATGCATGACTAGCAGAGCTCAAAACAAATGACAGAATCACGAACCACGGTTCAACAAACTCCAAATAAACAAATAAAAAAGGTCCAAAAAAACTATGACCAGCTAACAAATTATCCAACAACATTCTAACGGAGTAAGAACTTCCATTATCATGAACTGGAGCATAGCATCCCATCCATTAGTTTAACTACCCTATTGAGCCAAAATGAGTCATCCACAAGAGATCTAACGTGTAAGCGAGCATTATACAAATCCAATAAACAACATAACACTCATAGCAACTAAAAACTAACACAAGAGCCTTCATATTCCTCAAACAATGAATCCACTAACATAAAACGACTCCACCAATAAATCAAGAAATACAGAAAAAACATTTAAACGGTTTATGTGACCTTTCTTGCCAGGCATTTGCTTGCCATCTTTGAGGTAAAACTCGCGAATGTCAACCACGACCCTGCCTTGCCAGTTCCTCACCGAAACCCTCCTGTTCTTCGAAATCTACATTTCAGGAAAATAACAAAACAAATTAACGGTAAAAGAAAAAAAAAAGGAAAAAGAAAAAACCCTAATATAGGAAAAGAATCGACCTCGCATACGAAGATGGAGTCGGAGTCGTCGTCGGAATCTTTCTTGATGGCCTTCCTGGGCGGCGCGTGGCCCTCGGAGTCGGCGTCGGAGGCAGCGTCATCGTCTCTTCTTTTGGCCTTTCCAGACATTTCTCGAAGCTTCTTTGGTAAGTCTTTGTGATGTAAGAAAGAGTGAGTGAGTGGATTTCAAAAATAATAGATAGATTTATATACTACGAAATTCAGAGAGCCAAAAATTGAAACCTAAAAACGCTTTTGGCGCCCAAACGCCACTCCAAGAGTCACTCGTCACTTGAGTTCACTCGCCCTGCCTTTCAAACTTTTCGTCTTCTTTTCTGTGTTTTAATTTCCTTTTCTTTTATTCTTTTTGGGCTTTGTTGCATGAAAATTTAATTTGGGATATGGATTCCTTGCTCGCGTAGTATTTTGTAATCTATGGGTCAAAATAATTTCAAATTTTTAATTATCTTTATTTATTAATTATTTAAAAAATATATATTGTGATATGATATGTTCTACAATGATGTTTGCTTAAGATTTAGGTGAATTATAGTAAATAGTTCACCATACGCCACAAATGACTATCTTTAAAATAAAATCACTAGGAAAGCAATGATCACTTAATAAAAATTATGATTTACTACAATTGCTGTTAGCAAAATCAACAACTTACAACCTTTAATGGTCCAACAACCATCCAAATCAACAATAAATACACTATAAACACTTTTTCATGCCTTTTAACACTAACCCCCTATTCTAAAAAGATAAAAAAGAATAGGTTTGCTTAAGACTATGAATAATCTATATAAGAAAATATAATAAGGAATATGCACACAACTATTTACAAGAATGTGAGATAAGTGATAAATTTTCTTTTTCCTTATTTTTCCTTTATCTTTATATTTTATTAAAGTGTGTTATATGTTTCACAAATGAGATAAATTTTAAATCCTTTATTAGGCCTAATAAATTTTTATCTAATATAACTTTAGTTCATTTAATTGTCATAATACAAAATAATGTATAATACTTATCCAAAATAACATTGAAAGACATTTAATTTATCATATTTTATTATTATTACCAATAACTTATTTCAAAAATTAGTTATTAGTTTGAGTATAATAAATTCAAATATTTTAAGTGATTGAGTAAGGTCTCAATTTGAGTCTTCAAGATGATATTTTTTTATAATTTTTTAACAATCGTTTAATTTAAATATAAAACTAACTATTACTGATAATTTACAATATATTATTTTAATATTTTTACTAAATAAAAACGTTTAAAAGGTGAACCAAACTAAATAAAATAATTTTCTTATAACAGAGTATCCAGAGCCAGCAAAGAGAAAGAAGCGTAGCGGTTTCTCTTTTTTTATACAAATGACTATTTTTAAAATAATTTTTTTAGAATAGAATGAGACGTAATTTATTATCGTGAACTTTCACATATCATTATTTTTAACTTTCATTCTAGTAACTCTAAATGTTAATTGTACTGGGACTACACACCACCGCTCAAAGTCAACACTAGGAGTCGTTCACTATTCTGGCCACTGTTTATTATGATGGACAAATTGTCTCCACTGAGCATGGAGATACGTTTGTTAGCAACGAGGTTACAACCCTACTAGTAAGCAATATGATGACTTATCAGCAACTTAAGCAGGTTATTAATAATAACCTTAATCTTCCTCATTACAAAGTTTTCATAGATATCCACTACTGATACTCAGTTTCATGTATCGATGGTATATATAAATATACAAAGTTTCGTCTTAGGGATGATGAAGATGTGGAGTGTATATTTTTATTGTTCACAGAACTGCACGATCTAACAAGTCTCGAATTGTATGCTACAACGATGTATATTAGATTATTGCATAGGATGGAAGTGATTGAAAGATACCTTGACCAAACAATGAAGTCAGACAACTAATGTTATATGGTTTAGAGTTTATGTTATTTATCTACTATGTTTGAAATTTTATTAAATTGTTTTTTTAAAGTTATTTTCATTTTAATGATGTAACTGTTATAATTAGTGTACTGAATATATAAAGTCAATAATATTTAATAAAATAATATTGTCATTTATTTAATAATAAATTTAATTACCTATAATTATTAATACAAAATCAATATATTTATTATTATATTACATTATTTAATTTTATATATTTAATAAATTTAATTTAAATAATAAAATCATTTTTAAAATTCTAAAATTTATTAAAATAAATAATTTTTAACATTTTATTTATTTTAAACATAAATTTAAAATATTATACATAA